GACCTTAGAGCACAACAGGGACCAAACATCACCCACAGCTCCTATGGGCAACTGGGGAGTTAATCATCAACTGGTTGCACTGACATCCCTGCACAGGCATGCAGGGCTGCCTTCCCCATGCTCTCCTACGCTTCCTGGAGCTGGGAAGGACTGCAGCACCCAAGGGCTCTGGGAAAAACCCTGTGGGCAGCATCGGGGTGCTGATGTTGTACGTGGATTTTCAGCCGTGGCAGGGACGGAGAAGGGAAGGGGTTAAGCAGGTTTCTTCCACACAGTAACACAAACCTCTTTGCAGGCCAGTTACTCTACTGCTCCCTCAGGAATTAAAAGAAATAAATAAAATACACACACCCTTCTTTTGGAGAATTCCTCTTGCTTCCCTCCCCACCCGCCCTGTGCCGGTGATACGGCAATTAGAGCCCTCCTCAGCTGCCATAGGATCCCTCTCAGCACACATCCAGTGCCACAGAGCAGACATCTGAGGAGCTGGCACAGCAGGCCACAACATGGGAAGCCCTGTCCAGCTGCCTGGGCCTCTGGAGACTGTAAAAAAAAAAAAAGGGGGATAGCCACTGGCCACAGCACGGCAGAGCCGGGATGGGACGTCAAGCTCAGCTGCCAAGAGCTCCTGTCCACTCCCAGACACTGCTGCTTCATGCATTCAGTGGTGGATAAAAAACCCACACTGCTCTTGGCTCCAAGAGGTCAGAAAAAACCCTGAAAAGTCAAACTGGGAGAAGGGAGCTGCTCCCACTGCCAGCGGGCTGGCTGTGTTTACACCAGTCATTCGTCTGAACGCTTTGCCATTTTCAAACTACTTATATTAATTCATGTAAATCTCCCCTTTTCTCTGCGTTAAAAAAGCACCCTTAAAAATACTGCTGCAGGGATAGCGAGTTGTGCATGACGTTAGAGGTGATGGAGGGAGGGGAATTCTCAGCAGAGAAACAGAGAGAAACACAAACCACCAACTCTCGGTTATTAATCCCTTAAATAATTCTGACAACGCTCCCCACCCTCCCGTCTGAAACCAAGTTGAAAACGGAGTTTTCTGACTCTCTGGCAAGAGGGTGGGGTGTGGGGGGGGTGTGTCAGAGCATCTCCAACAGCATCCAGTGAGGACAGCCTGGATCCTCCCAGGGCTTTCCAAGAGTGATCCACACCAGCACATTGGCAGGACGAAGGGGACACCTTTACACTAAAAAGTACTCTGAATATATGGAGTAATTACTCTGAATTTATAAAGGGCACCATCACTTTAACTCTGATTTAACTCCCACCCACAAGGCAGCTCTTGGCACAGCTGCTGGAGTGTGCCGGGCTCGGGGCCACCCTCCCCACCACCCACATCTCCTCCCAGGCACTTCAGACACACAAGATAAGCCATGAACGAGCCCTGTGCCAGCCACCCACGAGTCACACGCCAGTGAACCTCAGAGGGTTCAGCTGAGAGGGAGGATTGATCCAGATGCCCCTCCCCAGCCCTGCTCAAGCTGCGAGGTGGGAGCAGCTCTCCCCAACCTCTGGACCAGAACCAACAGAGTGGAAAACACTGCTTTAACCTCAGCACCAGCATCTCCTCATCTTTCAGCTGACCTGTGAGCCACTTCCCTTTTTTCATTTTTTTTAGAACAGCATCACTTCATACCCAGGAGTCAAGGGAGGGAAGACCCCTTATCTTGCAAAAAAAGAAAAAAAAAAAACCAACCCTTTTTCAAACAGTGCAAGAACTTCAAAAGGAATTCAGGACAATTAAATCCATGCCAGGAGAGCTGAGAGGAGCGGGAGGCTAATAAATGGCACGCTCCACAGGTTTATGAATATTTGAACTATATTTCTTAAAAAAAAAATAGTACGTTACTGCAAGTTATTTAAAATGAGTAACTCCCTTTAATGAACCTTGGTACCATCATGCTGACTAATAGAGTAATAAAGAGTTTAATCCATATTTATGTACATTTTATGTCATTACAGTTGGTGCCAATAAATTAGCAAGTCCAATAAGAGTTTGATTTTATACCATCACTGCTATTAAATGTGCAACAACACGCCGTACATGAGCACTAGCTTTTCATTTTATTTAATTTCTTTTTTCAGGAGATAGGCTGTGCTAGCAGAGCCTGGATACAGCAACCCTGCAGAGGATCCCAGTGCTTGTTTCTGCGAGATCAGACCCTATTTAGGGGTGAGGCAATAAAAACAGGGGGCTTATTCCTCAGAGCACTGCACATCCTGATACTTCTGCATCCTGCAGCAGGGACACAACCACAGAGAAACACTTCTGCAGGTGCCACTGGTGATTATGGTGAGCTCTGAGCCACTTTAAAGTGATCAAATGAAAAAAGAAAAAAAAAAAAAACCACCTCAACTGGTAGAAAACTATAACTATATTCTTTTAAGGTGTCTTTAAGGGGCACAGATAGAAACACAAGCACCAGCATCTCAGGTCGCTTTTGGAAACCTCTGTCACGAAACACAGCATGGCCCTTGTCACACCAGGATTGCTTAATAACGGGACATTGGGGAAAAAAACAGGCTGTGAGCAATTTAAAACGGCCTTTTGACCCCCCTCTGGGTAACTGGGAAACACTGTAGACGAGATTACGTGGAACATGACGCATCTTTTTGGAAGAGGTGTGCACGCACCCGTTACCCAATGTCCCACCAAGGCAGGGACGGAGCTCTTCAGCTCCACGGGGATTTTGGCTGGACAAGCCCCCATGGTTCACAATCCCATTTCACCAGCTGTTATCCTGGTGACAGTAAGAAATAATTTCCCAGGCTTAAAACTCAAGGAAGAAGCAAAACCACAGATAAAACCTCACGCTCCTGGACTCGAGCAGCCCCCAAACACACTTGTTCTCCATCAATCCTGTGGCAGCTCCTCCTTGCTGAAGCCCCATCCCAGAAGCCAAATGGAGCGATGGAAAACTCACTCAGAATAACAGCTGGTCAAGGCAAGATTGAGGGATCTGATTTTTCTTCCTCTTCTAAAGCACTAGTGGTTTTCTTACACTAAGAAACCCCGAAGATTCCAAAGGACGAGCCCTTCACGCAGAGGTTGGCACCACAGAAACGCAAGTCCCCGCCCTCCTGCTCAGTAATTACACAGCACCAAACCCAAAAACTGCTAGTAATTGCTGTCCCACTGCCCTTTGGGTTTTTGAGGAGGGAAATAACTATTTCAGCGGCATCCAGAAGGGAAACACCCAACACCACACCACCGAGGCTTCTTTGCAATTAAATGGTCGACTGTTGCTGTGCTCTGCTCAGAAACGTCTCCTACACGGTCTAAGTGTCTTGTAACCCAAAAACACTATTGATCTAAGGAATTCATAGCTCCAGGAAGAATTTTTTGTGTGTGAAGTCTGTGTTTTGGCCAGCGGGAACGTGGATTAGAGACTCCCTTTGCTCTCGCTGTGACTCAAAATGGAAAGCAGCGCTTTGGTCAACAGCAGATTTTTCCCTGTTTATTTGCTTTGCCACTGTTGAACACAGATCTGAGGATTATGTGGGAATGAAAGGTGGCAAAGACAATGGGAATGTTTTGACAGGCTTCCAGAGGGATTTAGGGTGGTGCAGACTCGAACAGCTGACACCTCCACCAAACTGATTAAAAAAAGTGAGGTTTTTGTATACAAAGTCTGTGTTTCCCACATTTTATATGGTTGACTGAGGATGACGACGCACATGAAAATAAGCAAAATCCAGGTAATAAAGTATATTTGGATTTCTTGGAAGTTTATGACATGTTTCTTTCCCAAGTATCATAAAAAAAAAAAATTGTCATGAGGTGAGAGGGAATGGCAAATCACCTCCCTTTCCTAAATTACAAACCTGAACCTTCCTCCCAAAAAAGTGAACAGGAGGAGGGAATAGCTGTTCCCTAACCAGACCAGAAAAGAAACCAAACTGTGCTCATCAGCTGACATGCTCCAGCAGTGTTTAACACCAGGCTCTATTAACAGGCATCACAGGCAATTTGAAACAGCACAAAGCAAGAGACAATGTGACAATAAAGCAGCATTTTAATTAGCAGCAGTCCTTTCCCCGGCCCAAAAGGTTCCCTCTGTGCATTCATATTCCCAGAACAACAAAAGCCTTCTTGTATTTCATAAATCAAAAAAACTCATAAAACAAGGCCCTGCAATTGCACATTCCAGATAATGGTCCAGAAATAAATTAGGCAATAAATATCAAATAATATATCCCCATCAGCAGTGAAAATCTACTCTTTGGATAATCAGAAGGGAAGATGCCTTCCAGCAGCTTATGCCTGGTAACTCGAAACAGGTAAAACAATAGAGAGCTTTAATAAATCTTTTAACACCTTTTCTGCTGAAGAATATAGCAATTGTCCTGTGTAATAGCTTCCCTGAGCCCAGTATCCATCAGCCCTGATGCAGTTGGTGTCAAAACCAGGGAATCAGAACAAGAGCCACTTGTCAAAATCAGGCAGAGCTTTCCTCCCTTGCAGCTGGGTCTTGTTCAGCATTTGGGGCCAACCATCACTTACAGCAAAACACATTTTTGAGAAACTCAGGCCACTCATTTCATCCTGGCATGAAAACTCCCTGACCCCCACAGACACTCACTGGCCACATGACAAAATTGATGGTGATTGCAGCAAAGCTATTTTGCTTTGCAGAGGTGGCAGCAGCTGGAGAAGGACTGTGAGAGGTCTGGACCCCGTGAAAGGTCTAATTCCCCCCCCAAAAAAAGACATTTTTCATATACTTTAGAGTCTGATCCCAGAGACATTGTAACCTAAAGCAGAAAGCTTCAAGGCTTGATCTGCCTTCACTGAGGACACAGCAGAGTCCACTCATAAATACACCACGAGCACAAGGGAGCAAGTGCTCAGTTCTTGGGCTAAGGGTGCAGAGGCTTCTCAGAAAACCACAAAACCTTCCTATTTTCATCCGAAAGAGGCAGCCCAAGCCCAGAGAGCCAGCAGTGCCAGAAGCATCCCTTCCCAGGAGCTCAGGAGTAACTCTTACCTTTCCGAAATCCCGTACATCGAAGAGGTCGAAGGGATCAAACAAATCGCTGTTTCTTAACCCAAATTTGTCGTGACACACTTTCAGGAAGGTTCGGATGTTCTTCAAACAGAGAAACTGGGGAAAACAAAAGAGAAAGGTGGGGGGAAAAGGTGAGCAGGACAGGCACAAATTGCAACTGAGATTTACTGAGTTAAACTCCCGTGCAAGACAAGTTAACAGGGATTTAGAAACGTGCACTGGAAAGCCAGGCACAAGTTTATTTGTTGTTACTGAAGATGTCAGACTCTGGGTGCCCTGTGAGGGCTCCTGTGTTCTCAGCTGCACAGCAGAAACAAAACACCCTTTTGAAAAACAAATTCCTCACAAGGTAACATCTCAGAAGGGCTGGAGAACTCAAGCCAGGACATTTCCCTTAAAAGGCTGAAGAAAAATATAAATTACAGTTGATGTTCTACAGAAGGCCAGTGTTGAACTTTTAACCATTTCCAGCATGATTGCAATTGGTTCCCTATAGAAGGGGCACATGTTATAGAAGTCTGGAGAAGAGAAGGCTCTGAGGAGATCTTAGAGATACTTTCAGTACCTAAAGGGTTCCAAGAGAGCTGGAGAAGGACTTTAGACAAAGGCATGAAGTGGCAGGACAAGGGGGAATGGCTTTCCACTGACAGATGACAGGGTTGGATGGGATATTGAGAAGAAAATCTTCCCTGTGAGGGTGGTGAGGCCTCGGCACAGGTTGCCTAGAGCCATACCCGCCCCATCCCTGGAAGTGTTCACAGACAGGAAGCACCTTCCAGATGTTGAAGGTACCATAAACACCAACAGAGCCATGAAAACACAAACCACCACATCCAGCCCATGCCAGTCCTGAAGCTCAGCCATGGGAGCTGCTCCTGACCCAACTCAGATCCTGTCCCCAAGACCACAGACTGTTTCCACAAAGCTTTTGCTCATCTTCAACCTTGGCCCATTTGAAGAAGCAGAAGCCTCAGCCCTCCAGGGACCACCCTTGATTATTCAGGGAGGTCAACTGGCAGAGCAACGTTATGTTTCTCTTTCAAGAAAATCCTATCTTTGACTACAGCAATAATTGGTTGTTTATTTGGGAGCATCAGGGATTCTGAGGTCTGAGGACTCCAGTCTCGCTCCAGTGGTGCTGCCTGGCAGCAGGGGCTGAGAGGAAAATAATAAAAATCTGCTTCATTTCTGCAGCTGCATCACCTCCATCCTTCATCAGGATGGGCTGACTCTGCTGAGCCAGCCAATTAACTTCCCTTCTTTCTGCAGCCTCGTTACAAAATACCTTCAATTCATTGCTGTATTTTGAAGCAACTCTTTTTTTTTTTTTTTTTTCAGCAAATTCCTCACAAATACCTAACAAACACGTGAGAATCCCAAGTAAATCAACCCATTAAAGGGGTAAATCACCCCCACGTGATAAGCTGCCTTTGGGTGGGTTCGCTCAGCCCGGTTTTGTCACATGGCACGAACTCTGCTCCCCAAGCTGTCATCAAGTACACTCCATGTAAAGGCACTGCTTGCAAACTTCACCCAGGGTTCAAAGCCAAATAAAAATAGCTTAATTTTCTTCTAATTAAACGAATCAAAGCAGAGTCTTTGGGGCCATCGTATCTCCACAGACACCGCCACAGCGCAGCTTGTTATCACCGCATTTGGGATTAGAGATGAGGTTTCCAGAGGTGGATTAGCAAGACCACCTCATTAACAACAGGCTGATTCACCTACACAAAGAAAGGAATAACCTTTTACCCTTCTCCCCCACACCAGCCCCTCAACATGGGGCCGCTGAGTGACAGCACAGCTCCCCCAGCACAGGGAGGGGGGTGGCACAGGACAGTCCCATCGCATCAGAGTTTTCTCATTAGACAAGCACGTGCCAGAGGCAGAAATTGAAAACAAATCTGGTTTTCTAGGGCATTCCTCTATCTCACATAAACACTGCAGTAAATATAAGCGTCTAGACAGAGGGTTTTTTCAGAATTGCTTTACAACCTCTCTTGCTGACATGGGTTATTTCATAACTTTATCTTCTGGGTCTCTGCAAGAATTTACACCCCAGGCAAACGGGCTGCTTGCGGCAGGGCTGTGTGTGCTGCTGCACTGCAGTCTCATTGATTTCAAATTTCTAGGCATGTGTTTATTTTAAATCCTTTTAAGCCTCCAATTTTGAAAGTTAATGACACAGGTTATAGCCACAATTACACACAGCAAGACGCAAACTTCCTTTGCAGAACCGCCCTGCCCTTCTGCAGCATTCCCTCCCCGTCTCCCGCTCATCCCAGGCTGGGCAGCACCAAATCACACTCATGGAATGACAGGATGGTTTGGGTTGGAAGGGACACTAAGGATTATACAGCTAGTTACACCACCCTACCACTATCCCAGGTTGCTCCAAGCTGCATCCAACCTGGCCTTGGACACTTCCAGTGATGGGGCAGCCACAGCTCCTCTGGGCAACCTGTGCTGGGGAAGGAGCTGAAGGCTGAAGCTGATTTTGCTCATCCAATCCAGCTCTGGAAACCACCTCAGCACCAGCTGCCAAAGGAGTACAGTGTGCCTGCTGCAGTGCCAGTGCCCTCCTGCAGCTCCAGGTGACATCAAAGAGCCACCCCACAGCCAGCCAGGCGCTGAGTGCGGGCAGATGACAAGCATCGAGGAAGGAACCATAATCTATTTAAAGAGTTCTTGAAAAAGGCCTGATGTAAAACACAATAAACCAAGGCAAGAAAACCACAGTTCCTCCCCCCCTTCACCAGCAAGGAGCTGGCAACAGAGCAAGGCCACCACATTGCTCACGAGAAAAGCCTCCACTCAGAATGACAACCCCACCTGAAGTTCAGGTGGGTAGCCCCAGCGTGGGTGTTGGTGGCACAATTTCTTGCACTCTCTCTCTCTCACCAATCTGCAAAGTATTATATTGCACCTTTTTTTTTTTTTTTTTTTGGCATTTTGAGGTCAGTTTGCTGTTGATGGAGGATCACGAATTCTTGGCTCAATACTGTTACTCAACGGCCACGTGTTAAAATTGGCTACAATTTAATATGAGCTCTGTCGAGGCCATTTCATCTACCAGTCAATCACACCTTTGGACAAGTAGACATCTTGTAGCAGAAAAAGAGAGAGAAATCAATGTTCTCCATGGGGCTCATTCAGCACCTGTCAGGCCCAAAATCAATGGTGTCCTTTACACGCTTCGAGCGAGGCTGTCACTGAGGCAGCATCCTGCGATCCCCCTTGCTGCAGCCCAGCCCTGCCTTAACCCTCCTCCCCATCCAAAACAGCTCTGGAACCCACCAACCATGGCTTCTGGGGACTGACACCACCAGCAATCACAATGCTCAGTTCTGGAAATAAACCCAAGACCATGGCAGCTTCCATGGATACCAGCATGTCCCACTGGACCACTAGCCAGGCTCCGAAAGCAGCCATGGCACAAGTCCTTGGCATGGGCAGAGCATCCTGGCCACTGCAGAGCCCAGAGAGGGAAATTATCCAAGCCAGAGTAAGGAGGCAACAGGGGCAGGGATGGGGCTGTAGCATACAGAGCAAGAAACCCACCTGGTTAAACAAAATACCTTGAAGGCTGACAAGAGATGAGAAAAGTGTGGTCAGTTCTGACCCAATCCTCAGAGGGTTGTAAAGAACCAGCACTAGAGAGAGGCAGCAGTGGAGGCAGAGGGGCCCCATCACCTGCACTCACCCAGTTTCAGAATAGATTCACTTATTTTTAACCACTCTGCCATGTCATAAAGTGAATAAGCCACTATAAACTGCTCTCAGCCACTCTCCTCCTGCACCAGGGAGGCCAACAACCCCAACGCCTGGGACACACTGGGAGCTTCTCAGCACCTTCTGGGACGTCCTTTTTTACAGAGGGTTTTCATGATCTTATTTCTTTTACTGGATTCAGTACATTTAGAGGCACACAAAGGGTCCTGCTGACCAATTTTCATGCCACTCAAACGTGTCCTGCAAACTCAGAAACACGCTGGAGATGCCTTCAGTGGAGATCAGAAAAGGGATAGTTTGGTCTCTGAGAGAACTCCAGATACTCCAGCACTTGGAATAAATCCACTTTGCACACCGGGAGCTCAGCAGGGACATGCCCAGTCCCCCCCACGGCAGCTGGGCATCCCAAAGCTCTGCTGCTGCAACGCTGGGCAGGTCAGATGTTTCTTTAGATGGAAACTCCAGCTCTGGGGGTGGGAGAGGAGCCCATGGGAGGGTGCAGGGCAGCTCAGCACCTCGCTCCTCCCCACGCCCCCGCGTTAGCCACCACCGCCCCTGCCTGCGGTCCCCGTATGACTGGGCACCCCTGGCACCTGCACCGACCAGACAGCAGCCATTTCCAATGCAAATCGGCCAGAAAAGAGCCAACTGCTCGAGCACCTCGGGGTTGGGTTGGAAGCAGCCCCCCCTCAGCCTCAGCAGAGATGATGGCAGGCTTGAAGGCCACGTGTGCTCCTGACTCCCACCAAAGGGGCTTTGTTAAGGTTAAAATAGAACAATTTAGGTTGGAAAAGACCTCTGAGATCGAGTCACACCTTCAGCTCAGCACTTCCAAGCCCATGTCTCTGAGTGCCACATCTACACCACATTAAATCCCACTAGGGATGGCGACTCCACTTTCCTGAGCAGCCTGCTGATGGTAAAGACACAGATCAAAAGCTGGAGAATGCAGCAGGATTCGCTCAACAACCAAACTGGGACCCTAGGTGGGATCTGGAGGACACTGATGTGAGCAGAGCAGTCCCTGCTCCCTGCAGCTGGGATGCAACAAGGGAGGGAGGTGCAAGGCTTGGGAGTCTCCAAAGAGGCATTTATTTAACAATGTGATAAAACCCAGGAAAAGGAAAGAACCGGGGAGGATGATTCTGTCCAGTAGGGCAGGATCATGCAGTAGCTCACAGCTTTTTGGAAAGGGCCTTTTGGAGAGGGAGAAGCTGAAGGGGGCCGGGGTTGGAGCTGTGGGGGGCAGCTGGAAACCGGTCCTGCAGCATGCAAGGAATGCTGCAGCTCTGCCTTTCGAGATAACCCCGCTGATGAATGACGAAAGTAACTTTCTTTAGCGCTTCCTGACCGTGATGTCAGAT